ACCAGTGTTTGCATTAGTAATTTAAAAAAAAACAAACAAACCCAGATCCATTGAAAAAATGTTCAACACCATTAGTAATTCAAAAAAAAACCCAAACCATTGCCATCAAGTCTATTTTGACTCATAGCAACCCTGTAATTAGTATTACAGAAATGTAAATTAAGACCCCAGTGAGAAATTTTTTCACACCCATTCCACTGGCACAAATTAAGAGAATTTTTGTATAAATGGGTGCAACCAATTTAGCTTACAGTTTGACATTATCTCTTGACGGCGAATATTCACATAGCTTGTAACCCTAAAATCTCTTACGGAATAGGAGACGTGAACAAGTGTTCATAGCAGCATTGTTCACAATAGCTAAAACCAAGAGACAACCCAAATTCCATGAATGGGAGAACAGATTTAAAAAAAAAAAAAAAACTGATATACTCACACGCAAAAAATGTTGTATACAGTGGAAGAAACCACAAAGAGATATGATATTGTCAGTGAGACTTAGTAATATAATATTAAGTGTAAAAAGTAAGTCCCAGAAGATGTCATGTAGCATGGTGCTCTTTTTATAAAATATTTTAAAAATTAAAATAATGGTGCCCGGCTACCACCAGTAACCGCCCTGACAGGGAACACAACAGAGAGTCCCTGACGGAGCAGGAGAAAAGTGCGGTACAGAACTCAAATTCTAGTAAAAAGACCAGTCTTAATGGTCTGACTGAGAATGGAGGAACCCCGGAAAGCATGGCCCCTGGATTCTCTTATCAGCCCAGAGCTAAAACAATTTCTGAGGCCAGCTCTTTAGACAAAGATTGGACTGGACTGTGGGACATAAAATGATACTTGTTAAGAGTGTGTTTCTTAGCTCAAGTAGATACATGAGAGTAAACAGGCAGCTCCTGTCCGGAGGTGAGATGAGAAGGCAGAGGGGTCAGGAGCTGGTTGAATGGACACAGGAAATCAGGGGTGGAAAGGAGGAGTGTGCTGTAGAGTATAGGGAGAGCAGTTAAGAGTCACGTAACAGTGTATGTATAAATTTTTGTATGAGAGACTAACTTGAAATGTAAACTTTCACTTAAACTACAACAATAAACAAAATTAAAAAATTAAGGTTTACATGTAAATGCAAAAAAAAAACCTATAAAAAGAAAAGCAAAGGAATCGTGAACGTGATTCAGGATGGTGATTGTTTGGGGTCAGGGAAGCAGGGAGATACGGGAGGTAGGACTATGGTTGGAAATTAGTATTACCAGATCTTAGCTTTCATTTTGGGTGGTTTTTACATGATTTAAAAAGATAACTAATTTAATATCCAAATAAAAATCTGGCCATAATGAGATTGTGTTATGAACCAAGGATTATGATGAATCCAGTTCTGTGCACGTGAGGTCCAAACAAAGAAAAAGAAAAGTAATAGAGGCCATATAAGGTCCACATTAGGGAAAACACACACACATACTAAACCTAAGTTATTTAAGAGCATGTTGTTGCTTTCATGCTTTTCTTCTTCCCAAGCAGGAGCCTAAATACTCGGGCAGTTGGGAAGGCTACCTTAGTTAAGAACCTCATGGTTTTCACCCAGAAATAAGCTAAGAGTGCTATCTCATTTTGCTTTTATAAGCAGCTAGTGAGTGGCAAAGAACCTGTCTTTTTAAAGATGAATTTTCAGCTAAAAACAGGATTAAATGGCAAGATGGCATTGGAAACAATTTGTTGGTCATTATGTATATTGACGATTTATCCAGATCAGTAGCATGAACCAGTTCATCACCTGGGTGATGTTGCCAAATGGTCTTCATTCTACCTTTCTTCTAATCGCTTTTGCTTTAGGTAAATCTCAAGGAAGTTCTCTTAAGATTTTGTGTTCAGTAGCACAGTTTCTACTGATTACTAGAGGTTTGAGAAAATGAGAACATTTTAATATTTAGATCCTATGTAGAATGAGAGGTTGTCATTGGAACACCTTAAGAAATGTGTGGGTAGCAGTTAAGGAACCAACAAAACAAAGCTCCCTGACATGGAATAGACAGCCCAGATCCTGCTAGAATTGCCTTCCCTGGAGTGGTCTGTGTTCATTGTGAGAATTCATCAGCTACCCATTTCTGTCATACATTCCCCAGAACTCAGTCAGGAGGGGAGGGAGGGAGATGGCATGGGTTTTCAACAGGTATGTACTGAGAGATTTAGAGAGTATTTTGAAGCTAAATACTGAAATTCTGGCTTGTAGAAACCAGAGAGATTAAAAATAGATCACTAATCAAATAAGGTTTTCACTTTCTCCACCTGTAATTTCTCCTTTTTCTCTTATTGGGGCCTGACTTAGCAGGTCCGTGCTCAGTGCTGAAATTTGTCACCCTCGAAAGGGGGCTTTGTGGTCTCAACATTCTAGCTTGAGAGGTCTTGTAGGAAAAGGTCAGTTGGAGAAGAACATGACCAGTGATCATTAAATTGAATGAACCGTCGTCATATTTAAAGGTAAGCTAGACTAACTTCGTCTGATTCCATCCAGGAGCCAGCCAATCCAGGGGTTTAAACTACGGGGGGGCGGTCCCAGCGGCACTGCCTGGCTGTGTCTGTCTTTGATATGCAGTGATGCATTAGTTCCTATGTGATAATGCTCCCCTTCAAGTCCAGAAATGTATTTTCTTGTGGAGATGATGGACACTTCGTAACTTTCAGGAAGAGCACCTCAGCAGACTAAGTGGGTCACTTACTTTTTGAAAGGAGTGTGACTGAACCAGGGAAATGAAAAGTAAGAGATCTTGGTTAGTTTTAAGGCCAAGTGAAGGAAAAGCAGCCACTGCTGTGATCCCTTTTTGTGTGTTCCTTGTTTGTTAAGCGCAGTTTTTATGCCTGTGGAAGCCATCCACCCCAGCATTAAAGTATTACCGAACTGTCAGGCATCCTTTCTGTATATCCAGTTCCTTTACTTCACAGATGAAAGGCGGTGTTGTGTGAGAGGCTGTGTGATGTTAATCTCCATACCCCATTTAGAAACCAGAAGTTGAATTTGTTTTTAGGGCTTCTTGTGGAAATTGTCACCAGGGCCTCGCAGGTTGTAGGGCTTTTTCTATCCTAGGTGAGCCCACGGTGTCACCCGTGAGGAAATACAGTCACAGTCTTCCTGTGCAGTGTCAGAGACCTACTCTGCTACTCCGTGCAGAGAGACGTTTGGGAATATCTTTGAGCCAGCAATGCCACTAGCTAGTTTTTACCTCCTTTTCTTTCTTCCTTGTGTAAGGAGCTCAAGCTGGTTTTATAACACCAATAGGGTTGTGGAGTTGCTTTTTAAGCAAAGGAATGGTAATGTTATCGGGAAATTTGGTAAGTTTAGTTTGAGAGAAGTAAAAGTATCCAAGACCAGACTGACTGACTAGGAGCTCTTGAGAGTGCTCGCCTTTAAGAGAAGGTGTGGTCTGCTGTGAGGGAGACCTTTTTCCTGTTTATGTTTTGTACTTCGGAAGGCAGTGATGGAGTGCTTGTTAATATGTGCGATTCATCACAGTAAACTACCACAGGGGGAAATCTCAGTGATCAGGACCTACACATCCCTGGGGGCGTTTGATAGTGATTAGGGACTTAGATTTTAATCGGGTGAGATGTCATAGGAGGTTGTTGTGGGAGAGGAGTTTTAAACGGATAAATTATTTTTGCATTTAATTCACACACCCTAAATCAAAGCAGCATGGGAAAGAGTCTTCTTGCGCTTGAAGGAAAGGCTGTGGCCTGTACATACGTGGTGATTGAGTCTTGATTATACGAGCAGATCATCTGTTTTGTGCACATTTAAAATTCTGCATTGATTTTTGCTAGGCCAATCAGTGTGACGTGGGGGCTACTTTTTCCATCTCTACATTGTTTGATATGTTCTAAGAATACAGAGTAACTTGGATTATTTGTTCATTTATTTTTGCTTGTTCTTTTTTTTTGTTTCAACTTGGATTATGTGATTTTTTTTTTTTTTTTTTTTGATTACTCGTTCCACCACTTACCTTTCATTAGGGCATGTGTTCAAAAATTGCATATACATGTATTCATGTGTTCAACAAAAACCTCTGCCCGTTTCTTCATGAGGATTATTAACTCCTTGTTAAGAGGAGTTCTTGGAGTACATGTATTCTTCAACTTTTTAATTGTTGACCTCGTCTTAATGGTTGAAGGGAAAAGAGCAAAACTAGGGATATCTGACTTCAGGAAAGGAATTTTTGCAAAAATGATCTATTTGCAAATACGCCACTATTAAAATGTTGGATTGGCAAATGTTGGGTTATATATATTCTTACAACAGTGTTTTAAGAAGTCACTATTGCTCAAATATATTTTTAGACCTTTTCTTTGGAATTAGTTTGAGAGCCAATTTAGGGGCCATGGTGGCACAGCGTTTTAAGTGCTCAGCTGCCAACTGAAAGGTTGGTGGTTCGAACCCACCAGCCACTCTGCGGGAGACAGATGTGGCAGTCTGCTTCTGTAAAGATTTACAGCCTTGAAAACCCTATGGGGACGTTCTGCTGTGTCCTGTAGGGTCACTATGAGTCGGAATTGACCTGATGGCAGTGGGTTTGGTTTTGGGGTTTAGAGCCAGTTTGGGCCACGTACAAATATCACTCACGTTGCTGTATAATCAACCCTGGTTTTTTACATCCTCCTCCAAGTTTGTTTACTTGTTCGTTCATCTTGACCTTGAATGACTTCAACTTTCTGAAAATAAAATCCACCCTTAAAAACTGGTAATTGCCTTTGAAAATACCTAAAACAGTGTGTTGGAGGTCATTTTAATAGTGAAAAGAAGATCATGCCTCCAAGAAGGAGACAGCCTTCTTTTGTGCTTCTGTCTTCTGGCGTGTTTATTAAATGTAAGTCTTCCTTAAAGTGACCTTGAACATGTTCTCTGTTAAGTGCACAGCAGAATCCACCTAACCGACACCCACCTGACCCTGACTTCAGATGATTCTGTGATTTCATCTGTGCTAAGCAGACTTTCCTTTGCTCTTCTCCTTCACCAGGTGTACAACGTTTACATGGCAGGGAGGCAGCTGTGTTCTAAGCGGTACCGGGAGTTTGCCATTCTACACCAGAACCTGAAAAGGGAGTTTGCCAACTTTACCTTCCCCCGACTTCCGGGGAAATGGCCATTCTCATTATCAGAACAGCAGTTAGATGCCCGACGTCGGGGGTTGGAAGAGTATCTAGAAAAAGGTAAGCCAGCCCATGAAACTCTGCTGTCCTGAGTAGACATAGGGTCTAGGTACATAGTGTAACTCCTAAACTTCAGAGCTAAGTTCCCTGTAACTCAGTATAATGAAAGTCAAGTTTCTGATACAGGTGTTTAGTGATCTGAGCTTTGAAGGCCCTGGAGGGAAGTGTCCAGTACAGTGATTAATAGTCTATGTTTTGTTGGCTCACTGGGCATTTAACAACAACATAAAAATGCATGATTAGTTTTGGATGCATTGAGGACCTTTATTTATAGGGTTGTATTATTTGCCAGTAAACACATACAGATACACTCACCAGTATACTGAATTGATTCCGGAACTAAGTGGATAGTATTTGACATTTTCATTAAAATGGCTCTCGGCTCACTGGCATACCCTACACAGAAAGTCCTTATTCCCCTTACAAGTCTTCTTGGATAGGTTTGCTGAGTTGTAGGAAATGTAAAGTCCCCTTGTCTAAGTAGGTTATAGGAAGAAGTGTTGAAATGTACTTGTTTTCTAGGAGCTTCCAAACAGTACATCAGGAGTTTGTTGGATGCTGAAGCATTTGTTTATCCTAAGATGGCAGGAAAATGACACAGATCTCCTAATAAGATAGCTCGTCTTGTGGCTTAGATAAAAGGCCTTGCCTCACCACATCATAGCTACATAATTTGCTAGCTGCTTTATAGGTTTTCCTTTAAAATACTAGTTTAGTAGGATAATGGTCTTACCTGCTGTTTGGTTATTCTGTGTCTTTGTGTCCTTGTATAAGAACTAATTGACCTAGTTGACTTTTTTTTTTTTAAAAAAAAAAACTTCAATAGAGAGCCTTATCCCTGAAGAAAAACCATTTCCCTCACGTAGAAGGTAGTGAAACTTCTCATTCGTTTTTAGCTTTTTTTCTAATGTGGAATGGCCTCTAAACACCACCCTTGGGAAATGAGAAAGGGTACACATTTTTTAATCAAATGGAAGTAAAAATCTTCAGTGTAATTTACCATCCTCATGAGAGTGTCAGGAAATTAACTTTCTTAGATTTGGACGATTAACTGCCTGCCTTGCCTGCTTTCCTCCCTCCCTTTTTCTTTCTTTTTTTTTTTAGGGGGGTTATTGTTATTTTGAAGCTGAAGTCAGTGAGATGAGAAGATACACTCAGTCTAATACTTAATTGCCTACCTGTGTTTTCCAAAGTGGCTTTCAGTGCTCAGGGTTCTCCGGTTAACCTGTATTTTCCAGAGTGGCTTTCAATGCTCAGGGTTCCCCGGTTGACCTATTCTAGGCCAGATGAGGGTTTTCCTTTTTTGTTTCAATGTTATATTTGGTTTATTCCTGATTCACCTTTCCCTTCCACTGCCTCTTTCCCCCACGCTCTATTGTTCTGGCTTATTAACCGTCCCCACAGACTGCCAAGTTAGATTTACTGAACGTTTAAAACAATTTTTTTCCTGAGTAACTTCCTTTGGCTATGTGTGATATTTTTAGCAAGCTGCGTCTTTGTACCTTCTATTCCTCTCTTCTAAGCCGTATTTAGATGAAGGACTCTCATGTCTTAAAATCCCATCTGCCTTAGCATTGCCTGCTACTGATGATTTATACTTAACCTTGATATGTTCTTGACTTTTTAGGTTCTTAATTTTAGGGCCTCATGACAGATTCTATCTTTGTTTTCTGTAGTGTGTTCAATACGAGTCATTGGTGAGAGTGACATCATGCAGGAATTTCTGTCCGAATCAGACGAGGTAGGTGAATAACCCTTGGAGTGACTATTTACCTCCCAGCTCCATGTGGGGAAAAGAGAGACATCGATTATGGATTGAGTTTTTGCCATGAGCTCTCCAAACAACTGTATTTATCCTGTATCTTTTTGATACACGTCCTGCTTATCCTTTAAGACCTTATGCCAAGTCCGTCTTCTCCTTGAAGCCTTCTCTGATGACTCAAGTCACTGATTTTTCATTTCATCGAGAATTTTTGTAGTCAGTATTAACTCAATTATCGCCTTGATGCTAAATCATTCTCTAATAATAAGGTTATTACTTTATAGTTTTAGCTTCCTAGAGCGAGTTAGGAGTCCTGGGTGGTGCCAATGGTTAAGCACTTGGCTACTAACTGAAAGGTTGGTGGTTCGAATCCACCCAGAGGCCTGTCGGAAGAAAGCCCTGGCAGTCTACTGCGGAAAGATCCCCAAACCAAACCCACTGCCGTCGTGTCGGCTCCAACTCATAGCGAGCCTACAGGGCAGAGGAGAACTGCCCCATAAGGTTTCCAAGGCTGTAAATCTTTATGGCAGCAGACAACCACATCTTTTTCCCTCAGAGCGGCTAGTGGGTTGGAACCGCCGACCTCTTGGTTAGCTGAGCACTTTAACCACTGCATCACCAGGGCTCCTTCGGAAAGATCACAGCCATTGAAAACCAAATGGAATGCAGTTCTACTCTGAGACACATGAGTTCGCCATCAGTTGGAATTGACTTGATGGCAACTAGTTGGTTTGTTTTTTCAAAGGGTGTGAGCTACCTACGTAGGTAAGATACTAGATCGTGACCATCTTTGTATTCCCCGTGCCTTCCACAGTGTCAGGCGTGTTAGAGGTGCTTAATAATATTAATTGAATGGGACAATGAATATTCCATGCTAATATATTAAATAGTGTGCTACCCACTAATTTTTACTAGATTGTAAGTTTCTTGCAGACAAGGGCTTATAATGAAGTAATGCTTAGGGTGGTTTTAAGCAATGAGAGGTACTTTTTTCCAGTGTTAAATGAAGGTGGGCTTGTTCCTAAATAGTTATTTCTCTCTAATGAGAATTACAAAGTCAACAGTCCGTGAGGGGAATGTGTTAATCATCAAAAACAAAGAGAGAAGAAGGATTTCCTTTGAATTAAGGAGAATGAGAATTGTTTACCTTTATCGGGCGTCCGACTAACTCAGATCCTGGAATCTCAGACGTTTTTCCTTTTGAAGATTCTGTGATCACTTCAGGGTTCAGAAAAGAACTTCGCATACCACTTGAGCCAGTCTAGTTTGCCTGACCATTGAAAACCAGAGAATTTTGCTAAAACTAGCATTTTCAGTTATTTTCTCCTCTCATATTTGGGTTCCGAATGGGGTAGGGGAAGTAACCCAAAAATCTCATCTGTTTAACCTAAACTGCTTCACACAAGTTTTGGTTTGAAATGTGAACAGGTTGGATTCAACGTGTTTCTTTCCTCTCTGTTCATCTTAAAGGTTAGCTTATGCTGCAGCCTAAAGTCAGCTTTGTGACTTGTAACCGTATTGACTTTGCAGGTACCTTCTTCCCCCCTTTCATTGGAGCTCAGCTCCTCACTGTCACATGTGTAGGTTATTGTTTAGCTAGCATGTTACAGAGAGGTAAGTCGGTCCTAAATTCTCTCTCTGTCTTTCCGCCCAGAACTACAATGGTGTGTCCGACGTAGAGCTGAGAGTAGCATTACCAGATGGAACAACTGTTACAGTCAGGGTCAAAAAGAACAGTACTACAGACCAAGTCTATCAGGTAAATGACTTGACATTGAATGAGGTAAAACTAAATGAGTTAATAAATATAAAGTGATCAGAGCGTGTGGCACATCATAAATATCACTGAATGTTAGCTGCTGCTGCTGTTGTTGTTATTAATGTAGGATCCTTTGCCGTCCTTGACAGAAAGGTACAGTGAAAATCCCAGCTGTAGTGGTGTGATTAGGAGCCCCTGGGTGGCACACATGGTTAAGCTCTTGACCACTAGCTGAAAGGTTGGTGGTTCAGTTCTACCCAGAGGCGCTGCAGAAGACTGGCCTGATGATCTACTTCTGAAAGGTCACAGCCTTGAAAACAAATAGGGCAGTTCTACCCCACACATGGGGTGCCGTGAGTCGGAATCGGCCAGATGGCAATTAACAACAAGTAGTTGTGATTAACCCCCACCTTTATTGCAAAAAAACAACTTACACAAAAACAGACTAGTCTAATGAGCTTCCATATAGTCACCGCTGATACTCAGCAGCGATCAGGATTCTGCCAAATCCGCATCATCTGTCCTTTGTTCTCCTTTTCTTTAAGTTTTTTTTTTAATCCCGTGTTACTGGACCTCTGTATCCTTCCGCATGAGTCTCTAAAATATGTGGATGTAACCAGAATGCCATTATCCAACCTAAAAAAATTAACAGTATTTCCTTGATATTACCCAATAACTAATCCATAGTCAGATTTTTCCAGTTGTCTAAAAATGATTTTCACAGTTGGTTTGTTACAATCTGATCCTGAACAAGGGCCTCTTGGCATGTTTGGTCCTTCTGTCCGCTTTAATAGAGAGCGGTCCTCTACCTGGTCTCCCCTGCCCCGCCCCAGTGCCATTGTTCATTGCAGACATTGGGCCAGTGTCCTGTGGAATGCCTCACATTCTGAATTTACCTGTTTGTTTCCTTGGGGTATCATTTAATATGTCCTTCTAGCTCCTTAGATTTGCTATAAATGGAAATTTTCTCTACAGGCTCGATTAGATTCAGGCTCAGTTTTTTTTAAACTTCATACTTGGTGCTGTAGACGTCATCTTGCTTCTCAACAGGAAGTATACAATATGTGGCTATCCCACTTGTAGTGATGTTAAGATTAATCAATAGGTTTAGGGTCATAAGTGGCGATAACCTGATCTCTCCATTGTGAAGCGTCCCACTGATCTTCAGATGAGTGTATCCATTGCTGATTGTTGCCTTAATCAACGATTTCATTAAAGGTTACAAAGTGGTAATTTTCTAATTCTCTTATTTCTTCCACTTTTATAAGCTGGAATTTTTCTGTAAAGAACTTTTTCTTATCAACTAACGCAATTTAATTACCCTGAAATACAGTTTGTACAGGAAAGGGAGGGTAAATACTTCTTTCCTTTTATTCCCAATTTTCAGAGTGGAGAATTGGTGCCCTAGTTGATTCCAGTGATGTCCAGTGGGATAATTACTTCGTTTCTGTAGTATCATTGGGTCTGTAGATATTCGGTGTAATGTAACCAATGGCACGTGTTACCGTTTCGATGCTCACGTTGTTCCCTCCTTGGCCAGTGGAAGCTCCTTTGTAGCTGTTCCTGTCTTCTTGATGCTGCCTGTTCTTTAAGATGGCTTGCTTGCTTTTTGGTACCAGTTGTCCCAGGCTCGTCTTGAGCTATTTCCTACCCCTAGATCGAGAATCAGTCATTTACTCAAGTAGTCCTGGTTCTTTTTAATGAGAGATGGTATTTAAAGACCATGATGTGGTGCTGGGTGTACTCATTGCTTTTAGGCCTTTTTATTGGCGTTTAACCCTGATTTGATCAGTATTTTCAGGGAGACAGGTTTCTGGGTATTAATGTTTATTTTTCCTTTGTAGCAAACAAAAGATCGATCCCCCGTAGATTTTCCCATGGCCTCTATCTATGGCAAAGGGTGTGTACAGGCTCTGAGGTTATTTCTGTAGTTATACAGTAGTGGAGTGGGTGCAAGGAAAACACTAATTTTACAGCTTGCTGATGTTGTGTTTTATTTTCTTTTGCTTTTTTCAGTGTTTCTCTAGCAAGGCCTAGTGTTTTTGTGTTTTTCCCCCCACCCTTGTTTTTGAGATTTCTAGCGAGGAGCCGTTTTCAGATCTTGAGAGCATTTCCGTTTCTATCCAGTACAGTACAGAATGGTAATTTAAAACACTTATACTCCCTAGTTCCTTCCTCACATCAGGGATGAACCTAGGTCTAATCTGTGAGCAGATACGGGAAGAAGGGATATAATCATATTTGATTTACTCAGGTACTAATTAATATTCAGCAATTTTATCTTGTTTAATTAACATCTTATTTAGATTGGGATTGAACTGGAAAAGAAATTTTGGTACTCCTAGTTTGTAGTTTTTGCTTTGTATTTTTTATGTAATTTCAATTTTTATTTATTTGGTCACTGATTCCTTCAACTTTGTTTTTTAATATTTTATTGTGTTTTAAGTGAAAGTTTGCATAGTCAGTCAGATTCCCATTTAACAATGTTATACACCTTGTTCCGTATCATTGGTTACCTTTGTCACAATGCGTCAGCATTCTCAATATTTCCATCCTTTCTGTTCTGTTTCCATTAATCCAGCTTCCCTGCCTCTTCTTAGCTTCCTACTTTTGTTTTAGGGGGAACGTTGACCATTTGGTGTCATATAGTTGATTATTTAAGGGAGCACAGTATTCACGGATATTGTTTATTTTATAAATCAATCTATTATTTCAGCTTCTTTTTATTTGTCATGTTAGGGCCTTAGTTCCTAGAGGGAAGGACTGATACTTGTTTAATATGCCTCTGTTGTCCCAACATTTTGCTATTTTTATGTGTATATTAATGATGGTGATTCTTAGGAAATGGAGGTACCTAATGTCCCCAGCCTGAGACGTGGATCATCTGAAAAATAATTTGGGAAGTGTGAACAAAATTGACAAAAATATCTTAAGCTCAAGAACCAAAGCTATAAACTGCGTGTGTTAACAGCTTGTATTCAACGTGGGTGGGATGTGTGAGACTGGATACGCAGACTCTTCTTAAGATCTGTGCTTATCAAGCACATTTTCTGTAAGTGCTGTTGAAAAGACCCTCTTGGGATGGAATCCTGTTTTAGAGAGGAAAGCTGATATTTAAGGAGAGACCATTATCAGCTGATTTTGGAGGGGAAAAACTGATATTTAGAGATCATAGTTGTTTGGGTCAAATACACGTATTTCTTCCCCCTTTCCTTCCACAATACACACGCATGAGCGCATGTACACATGTATGCAAAGAGGGATAGCTATGAACCAGGAATCTGATTTTTGTGAAGCCAAGATGGCAGAGCCCCTGCTCTGCCCCCACGCTCATTCACCTGCCTCTTCTCACAGAACTGTCTGATGGAGTTGTCCGGAAACTAACCTGTCCTCTTTACCCTTAAGGCTATCGCAGCAAAGGTTGGCATGGACAGTACAACCGTGAACTACTTTGCTTTATTTGAAGTGATCAATCATTCCTTCGGTAAGTGCTGGCGGTTCATGTTAAGTTTTGTTCTGGGGTATTTTAACACTGTTGCCTGACGCTCCCGCAAGCTGTCAGATTGAAACTATTCGCCTAGAGAGGGACTTAAAGACGAGGGGAGAGCCCTCCCATCAGGATTGCCTCGAAGAAGCAGACCCGGCAGATCCTGTTATGCTCAGGTGATTAGGGTGTCTGATCACTGTTGATCTTTCTTCCTCTTTTATAAGTCACACCCAGAGCTGAATCAGATACTTCCATGAAGTTCTTTTAAATCAAACATTCAAAATTCATATATTCCAATGAAGCAGACTTAAAAAGAGGGCTTTGTTTTTTAGGCACAGTTGTTTGAGTAAAGATTTTTAAGGAGAATAACTAGCTTTTCGTTTCCAGTAGTTAGAAAGAGATATCTTACTAAAAGCTTACACTTTAGTGGACATTTTAAGTTTCTGTGTGAATAGATTTCCCACTTCCTAGGAAAGCATGGTGACAGGAAGTTTCTGTTATATTTTATTTTCCAAAAGCTAGGGATGACGGTCACATTGGTTGCACAAGGGGGAGGAAGTCTGAGGCTTGCTCTGAATGACACAGATTTCCTACAGTTCATGGGTCTCTTCCACAACATTCACGCACGCACGCACACGCACGCACACGCACGCACGCACGCACGCACGCACGCACGCACGCACGCACGCACACGCACACACGCAGAGGCTGAGGCCAGAAATGACGTGGATGATACTGGTTGGATAGACTGTCCTCATCCCAGAAAGGGGGAGAGGGGTTTGCTAGACCTGGGTCCCCTTCTGGTCCAAGGTCAAGGGGAGAACAAACTTGATTCCCTCTCAAGCGGTCATATTCCTCTTATTATTTTTCTTCCTAATTCCCAAAAGCCTGAGCCGCCCCCCCCACTCCCCACCCCCCCAAAAAAAAACACTGATTGCTTTCTGGTCAGTTCCAGCTCATGACGAGCCTGTGCGTGTCGGAGTAGAACTGCGCTCCACAGCGTTTTAAAAACTGTGACCTTTTCGAAGCAGATCACCAGGCTTTTCTTCTGAGGCACCTCTGGGTAGATTCAAACCCACCAACCTGTCAGTTAGTAGAGTGCGTAATTGTTTGCTCCATCCAGGGACTCCATGGTCTGACTAGGCTGACATAAATGATGTTCTACAGGATTGCTAGGGAACCAGGACACGTGGACTCTAGTCCTACCCTTCTTTTCTAAGCTTTGGTTTCCCTCTCTGTAAAATGGGAAATATTAAATCTGCCTTTTTCAGTATCCTGAAGCCAAGTGAACACCAAGAGAAGAAAATGCTCAGATGTTCTGGAGAAAGGACGCGTAGAAGTGAAAAGGGGGGTGGTTTCCCCTGCTTGTGCACCATTAGGGCTCTTTGGGGGCCTGGGCGGATGATTGCAGGAAACTTTCAGCTCTTTACAGTAAAAGCAGTTTGTTGAGAATTGCCCCATGAGAGAGTCTGGATGCATCACGGCTGGATGAGTAAGAGGGGAGGCATCCTTTAAAGATGTTCTGTGGACATCAGTGTAACTCAGCAGATGACGGATCAGATGTTTTAACTGCGTGTGGAGTTGGTGCCGTCTGCCGAGTCAGCATGTTAAGTGAAGGGCCTGTCATTCAGGTTGGTTTGAGGCTCAGCTGGGCGTCCTCGTAGTTCGAAGACGTAGATTGGCTAGACAAATAGTTAGTTTTTGCTCCTTAAGCGGAGTGCCTTGATGGATCTGAGCTGATATTCTGATCTCACTTGGTTAATGATGACCTGCCATTCTCGATCTGCCTTACACAGTTTATCCGAGGAAGATTCCCCATCTGCCTTTTCACTCCAGCTTGATTTGTTTTGTTCTCTCTTTAGTACGTAAGCTGGCACCTAACGAATTTCCTCACAAACTCTACGTCCAGAATTATACATCGGCTGTGCCAGGCACCTGCCTGACCATTCGGAAGTGGCTTTTTACAACAGAAGAAGAAATCCTCTTAAATGACAATGACCTCGCCGTTACCTACTTCTTCCATCAGGTGGGTGAACTGGTCTTCCTGCAAAGCACTGATTTCTTTTCCTAGTGGCATGTCGTGGGTAATTTGCCAGTTGAGTGTGGACACTTAGGTAATAAGGTGCCGTGCTCCCGGGTCTTAGGTAACGCTTGTAAAATATTCTGTCCCATTTCACAAAGGATAAATAACTTTATAAAAGTGAAGATATCCTGGAGTTTAAAAAATATTATTATTACTTTTAACAATAAAATGAGCATTATGGCTGTGTACATACATACAGGCAGGAAATAGTTCCACAGGGTTTATTATGAAAAACAGTAGTTGCCCCACTTACCCTCGTCTCTTTCCATGGGCAGTCACTTTCACTTCATTTTTGGTTGTTGCTTGGTTGGTTTGGTTTGGTTTGGTTAGGTATTTACCTTCCTGTCTCTATGATAACTTGGTTGCATTGCTGCTACTTGATTTTCCAGATGCAAGCAGCATCTCTTAGTTGCCCACAAGAGCAGATGAGGCTTTAGCTGGCTTTCCTCTCCCGCTCTCACGCGTACCCATACCTTTTTCATCTTCCTTATCCTCTTAATATAGTGAAATTGTCATATTTGTGAGGTCAGTATTCAGTGTTTACATTATTCAAGTCTGTGAATAGTGAACTTCACAGCAGAGCCGTACAGTAAACACTTCCTTCCTGACGTTTCATTTTCCCTGTTAATTATCACCCTCCTTTTCATTTGCTTGGTTTTCATGTCCTCGTAGTTACCTTAGCTCCAGACTCTTCACCAGTTGTCGACATCTGCTCTAAAGACAGTCAGACGCATCGGATACTCCGTCAGTCCCCACTGTCTGCAGCAGTTTCTCGGGGAGCCGTCCACTGGTGCACAGCTGTCATTCTGGGATCACCTTTTCTGTCACCGTCTCCTGTCTGGGATTTCCAGTGTTAGCGTACATGTCTTCTTTTTCTTGCTTATTTTGGTGAAACACATTCTCAGAGCTTCTTGGGAGAGGGTGCATGGGAAATAGTGTTTTTAAATCCTGACTGTCTAAAGGTACCTTTATTCTGTCTTCACATTTGATAGATTTTAGGGTTGGACGTAGAGATTTAGGTTGAAAATTATTTTCCCTCAAAAGTTTTAAGGAATTGCTACATTATCTTTTTAGCACCCAGTGTTGCTGTTAAGAAATCAAGAGTCGTTCTGATTCTGATACCTTTATATGGGACCTTTTTTTCCCTTTGGGAAGCTTGTAAGATCTGTTTTGTCTCCAGTGGTCTCAAATTTCACAATGATGTGCCTTGCTGAGGGTCTGTTTTCATCTATTACTCTGGGCCCTCTATGGGAAATTTGTGTCTTTCTGATCTGGCAAATTCTGTTGAATTACTCAATTGACAATTTCCTCTTTCATTTTTTGTTCTCTCTTTTTGGAACTTCTGTTATTCTGACATGGGCCTTCTTGGTCTGCCCCAGTTTTTCTTGTTTCTCACATTTTAAATTTCTTTTTCTTTTTGTTCTGCTTTCTGGAACATTCACTCAGATTTATCTCCTGGTGCTTCTATTGAATTTTGTACGTGTGCTATTATATTTTTAATTTCCAGAGGCTTTCTTTGGTTCCGTGAGTGTTCTTTTATTGCAGAATATTCCGTTCTTGTTTTGTGGTTATAATATTCTTTCTTAACTTTCCATGGAGATTAAAAATAGTAGTTTTTTTAAAGATGGGTTTTCTTGTCCCTGCATAGTCTATCTCCTTTCTTGTTTTTATTGTTTGCTTGTTTCTTTTCTCTCTGCTGTTCATGTTAGGGGCTCTCTGCTAACACAGTTGTCTGCTCACAGTTAAGACTGGGAGGCTGCAGAGCTGATTGTAGCTCAGATGTGAGTGGACCTTACTGACTGAGCTTCACTGTGGACAGACCAGATCTCCAGTCTCCACTGGCACTGAGGTGGCAGTCATCTGGCTCCAGGGAGTGGAGGGGAGAGCGTCTGAGAATTCGGCTGCTTCTTCAATAGGCTTTCAGTAAATCCTCCTTATTTTAGCCACCCCCCCCCACCGCCCACCTCTTCTAGGTGACCACCAGTGCCACCCATCTTCCTGGGTCTTTTGGGAATTTTGTGGTGTAAATTGGAGTGGTCCACCACTTTCCCCATCATCAGTTTAACCAAACCAAAAACCAAACCCATCACTGTCTAGTGGATTCCAACTGATAGTGACCCTGTAGGACAGAGTGGAACTGCCCCATAGGGTTTCCAGGGAGCAGCTGGTGGATTTGAACTGCCGACTTTTTGGTTAGCAGCCGAGCTCTTAACCACTGCGCCACCAGGGCTCTGCTGTCAGTTTAGACATCAGTGTTTTAGGTTTTCTAAATTACTACCCATCCATCTGCATTCTGGATTCCAAAATTTTATTCTAGTTGTTTCTTCCCATTCTCCCTGGTCTTGTGGGTTTATTCCTTTAAAAAAAAAAAAAAGAAATCCCTCTATGGACATTTTAGTGGGGTTTTAGGAGGAAGTAGAAGTAGACGCTCATTTTTAACCTGCCGTCCCCACCTGGAAGTCTTCTTTTATGATCTTTTCCTGTAAGTATTTACACTGAAATCCGGCACTAGGTCTTTATACGGATGTGTAATTTTTACAGAGTTACAATCCTAATGTAGGGATCATTTTGGAATTTTTTTTCCTTTTTTAATTACCTGTAAAATTCTTTTCTATTTCATTCATAGCTGAATTAACGTACTATGTGTTATTTAATCATTCCATTTTATTAGTTCCAGAGTGTTTTTTGAGTGTGATTATAAATGGTGCTGTTGTGAATTTTTATAATTTTACTTTGTGTACGTGTTTTTCTTCTGAAAAAGTTCTTGTTCTCCTGGTGTTTTGTTGTGTTGGACGGTTGCTGTCCGTTGACTCTTGGTCTTGAACTTTGATCCCTATAGGTCATTCTTACAGATATTTATTCCTTTTTTTATCTTAGTGTTACTGATTTTTGTTTTAACATTTTATATAATAGTAATTATCTTTTCCTTTGTAATTTCTGTTGCTTCACTTATCAGTACACTTTCTCTCCTCAATAGTAAGTATGAGTGGGCTATTGTTTTTAATTTCCAATATTTTATTTTTTATATTTAATACTTCAGTCTACATGGGGTTTATTGTGGTCTATGGTATGAAAGTTTGGTCTAAGTTAAATTTTCTCTGTTTTGCTTCCTAGATATATTGTGGCCCAGCAGAATGATTCATTTTCCTAATGTTGTATATGCTTAACTTGCCTTTTATTAAATTTGTTTTTATATATTGGCTATATTTTGGGTCTCTGTTCTATTAATCTGTGTTTCTATTTTTGACTCAGTACTCCCTTTTGAATATTGTTGCTTTATAATGCATTTAGTATTTGGTAAATCTAAAGCCGTCTTCTTTTAAAGGCTTGATATTCTTGCCCATTGTGTTTTACGAATAGTTTTTAACCCATTTCATGTTTTATGAAGTGTCCTATTACTGTTCTTACTGGAATTTTGTTCAATTAGTAATTTAACTTGAGAAGAATCACTGTCTTTATTAAGTGTAGATTCCCTACTAGGTGTGTAATGTTCCTGTTTTATTCAGCCCCTCTTTTGTTTCTCTGAATAAAGCTCTGTAGTTCTGTGTTTTGCTTATGCCCCCCCGGAATTAATTCCCACTTATGTGATATTTTTATTACTACTGTGAATAGAGTATTTTTTCCTTTGTCTTATTGGAATGGAAAAATCATGAGCTAGGAGTCAGAGTATCTGGTTCAAGTACAAGCTCTACATTGGGTAAATCCTTAGCATAGCCTTGCTGAGGTCTGTCTTCTGATCTGTTAAAGGGGAATAATAGTACCTCACAGTTTTTTTGTTTTGTTTTTTGGGGGGGAGTTTAAATAAGTATAGAAATTTAAATGAGGCAGAGCATGTGGAATTGATTTTTGAATTATAAAGCTATAAGACAACAAAGGTCGAGTATTTAGATATCTAGCAAAGCTTTTACTTTTGTAGCCGTCTCTTGTACCCAGCAACTCTTTTGAAGACAGATGATTGCTCAGATGATCCTTTGGTCGACTAGTAAACAGTTGTATCTTTTGGAAAATAATATTACATTTTTTCCATTATTAAGTTTTAGGTATTTTTTATATCATATTTTGATAATGGCAATATCTAATGCTGCCGTATTTCACCAGTTCTAAGATGTCATTGATTGTACGGCCCACCATGCTGCCTACTCCTAAGAAAGACAAAAAGCCCGACAGTTAAACTGACACGTTGTTGATTGTAAGATGCATCCCCGTTTCAGAGATGTTAAAACGTGCAGCTTAGAATTGATGAAATATTAGATAATAATGATAAAGAGCCTTTTTCTTAAAAAAATTAATAAAGTCGAAATTCATGGTAGAATATGTTTAAATTTTGGCCACACCTAACAGACTGAACACACACATTTAAGCTGCCCCTTCCTGAAAGCTCCCTAAAATAACGGTAATGGATTTTAAAAGGCATAAACCCACGAAGACAGAGAGAGACGAGAAGGGAGGCCACAGCAGATGACAAGTGTCAGCAGTTTGACCTAAGAATGAATGTTTAAGTGACTTGAGAGGGTTTGGGTGTTTTGAACGGAGCCCTGATGGGCGCTGATGAAAGCACTTGGCTGCTAACCAAAAAGAAGCAGACCGCCACATCCTTCTCGCGAGGGACGGCCGGTCGGTTCCTTCTGCCGACCCTTAATCGCTGAGCCATCAGGGCTCCCTTTCCATAAAAACCCTATGGGGCAGTTCTACTCTGCCCTGTGGGGTCGCCGTGAGTCCAGATCGACTTGACAGCAACAGTTTTTAATGTAAATTGGCCCGTACTCATGAAACGAGGCCAAAGCGCAGGTTACCCAAGTTGGCAGTCTTCTGATGAAGGTTCCATGGGACCTCTGCCTGGTGCCTGCACGGTTATCCTTGCAGTAACTCACTGAGCTTAGATTCTGAGTGGCCTGGACAAGTGATGATATTTGCTCTGTTTTTGTTGGTTGGTTTCTCTCAAAGATCTGTTTTCCCTTCTGTTAGATTTTTCAAGTTTTTCTTGGGGTGGGAAAGGGGTTGAGTGAAGCCAGGAAGGGTATGCATATCTCATAGACCTGATCCAGGAGGAGTTTAGAAGTAGCATATCGTATCTAGGTACCTTCGTGCCCGTATGGAGGCCTCTCGGGTTTGTTTCCCTCACCGTCTCAGATTTGTCACTTCCTCTCTCCCCATTGCTATCATCCTAGTTTTAAGGCCTTGTTTCGCGTCATGCGTCAGCTACCACAGCATCATTGGTCTCTTTTATTTCATTCCCTTCTGAACGTAATTCATTTGGCACTCAGATTCATTTCAGTCTTTCTTTAGAAGAACGATTTCTTGACGCTTATTTTAGCTCCCGGCTGTCTGTCTTGTTACGTCTAATCTCTGTACCTGTTTTTAGGATCCTCTGCCCTCTGTCGTTAACCTGCCATCCAGCATCGTCTTCCACTGTCCCTGGCCTGCACCCTTTATTCAGAGTAGACATAGCTGTCTCCTGGCTGTATACAAGCTGAAACCCGATCCTGTGTCCCGACTTCAGCTTGTAGTTTCTCGTATTCAGCCCAGCCTCCAGGGCGCAGCCAAGGCTTCCCTGGTCACTGTTGTCACCAGGAGGCTCTCCTGTTCTGACTGTAGCATGCCACTTACTGTCTGCACCGCACGTTTTTGCTACATCATTATGTACCTTTAACACAGTATCGTATGCTGCCTTTCATTGTTCTCTGATTGTTTCACATGCATAGATTAACCAGAGTTTAAGTCTCTAAGCACCAGAAACCATATCCCTCACGCAGTGCCTGGAACTATCGTTAGCACATTGCAGACACTCCTTAAATGCTAGTTATTCCAGGTACATCCATGTGGCAGAGCTCACTGACAAGGATGATGTTAGTCTGAAAGTGAATCTGTGTCTTTTTATTGTTGGCGAGAACTTACTTGATAATGATTTTTACCTTCCTTTCTTCCCTGCCTTTGTTTTGGTAACAGGCTGTCGATGACGTGAAGAAAGGTTATATCAGAGCAGAGGAAAAGTCCTACCAGTTACAGAAGCTGTACGAACAAAGGAAAATGGTCATGGTAGGTTTACATTCCCTGTAGCCCTTTCAGAAACCCTGGCGGCGCAGTGGTTAAGAGCTGCGGCTGCGAACCAAAAGGTCGGCAGCTTGAATCCACCAGGCGCTCCTTGGAAACTCCATGGGGCAGTTCTGCTGGGTCCTGTGGGGTCGCTATGAGTTGGAACCCACTCGACGGCAGCAGGTTTACGGCCCGTTTTAAAAATGCTCCTTGTTTTCCTTTGAAACCTGTTGTTCAGTTGTTTTCAAACGTGTTGCAACCTGGTCAGTGGCTTCACTAATAAAAAAAGTGGGGAGAGGGTTCAGAGTCAGTTGTGTTCATTTATCACACAGAGAGCTCATACTGCTGTACGCAGGCATGTAACTTTATTAATAATAACCAAACAGTATTCTTCTGATAAACAAAAATGTGTTAAAACAAAAGATGTGCAAAGCATTATAATATAATAAAGATAAAATTTTGTGAGAACTGATATTTAGATTTTTTACATTAGAAATTATTTTAGTTGTGATTTAACAATAGCAGAATCATTTGTTTTTATGGCTTCTCTTTCTGCACATGCTTAAACATCCGTGCTCAATAGTGCTTTTGATTACAACAGCTGTGCCGTTGGATTCTATAGCTCCTAGCCACATGCTATTTAAATTTAAATTAAATAAAACTTAAAATGCAGTTCCTCTGATGCACTGGCTACGTTTCAAGCGCTGAGTAGCCACGTGTGGCTAAACCAAAAAAAAAAAACAAAGACAAACCCATTGCCGTTGAGTCAGTCGGACAGTGCAGATACAGAACATTTTTGTCATGGCAGAAAGTTCTGCTGGACGGGGCTGCCTGGAGTGTTCTTTAGATGTTTTAAAATTAGTTTCCAATCTGTATCTGCCATAAATACAGGGATAGAAATTATCAAAAATAAATTTGTAGAGAACGTTTACAAAAACTTTCACTCACAGCATTTTTAAATTTCTCTCTTGGAAAATTTACATATAGTTGAAATTTTTACAATTAAAATGTTTCATGATTTCACACAAGGCATTGGCAGTGATTCTGATAGGTCTCTCAAATTTCTTTTGTAACTTCTGTGCAGTTTTTATCAGGGAATTTCATCCATTTAAATTAATTGGATTGGAGTAAGAATGCAAACAAGTCAGCCATTGAATTTAGCCCATAATCTCTTGTCTAGGTAGGAGAGTTATTTTGCAACTTAAATGATGAAAAGTAATAAATCTCTGTGCTTTAGAAAGTCGCCGAAGACCAGGGAACCGTCTTATCTATGTTCTGCATGTCATCAGACTAAAATAAACAATGCAGAAATCTTTTAAATATCGTTAACTATGGGTAGTATTTTAGCTAAGGGAATTGTACTATGTGAAGACAGAATTCTAGTTATTTATTTATTTACTTTTGAGACAGAATTTTAAAACTCCACTTCATGGGTTAAGACAACGACGTTAGTACGTGATTCTGACTAACACATCTGCATCTTTCTGGTGAAAAAGGCCAACCCAGCCCCATCAGGCTCTACAGTAGTCCTTTGCCTTTGCCAAAACCAGCAGTCTTCCTGTTCGTGAAGAGATAACAAAAATCAAAGTAATTGCAGAAGGGCTTTTAATACACCGATGTGGAACACATAGTGGTTTTTCTGCACATATTGTCCTCCAAACGTACCATCTTCCGTGTATGCACTCAACAGAAAAGTACTTGTTCAGCGCCAGGTGTTTGCCAGGCACAGAGCAGGGCGCTAGAGGAACACATGGGTTAGGGTTGTTCTGTGGTGAAATGTAGGAAATCTGAATTTGACAAGCACAGTAATCTATTATGAAATTATTTTTAGGCTCGAGTTCATGTGTTATAATCACTCAGTTAAGAACTAGAGTGCAGCTGGTAATGCTGGTATGGTTTCCCATGGGTCGTTGGAATTGAGTATAAAATATGCTTAAACATTTATGGAATTCTACTGACTTGAAACCCTTGTGTCAGGGTATGTCTGTAACCAAACCACACCAGACCAGTTGCCGTGGAGTCGATTCCGACTCATAGCGACCCTATAGGACAGAGTAGAACTGCCCCATACATAGGGCTTCCAAGGAGCGGCTGGTGGATTCAAACTGCCAACCTTTTGGTTAGCAGCCGAGCTCTTCACCAGTGCACCCCCAGGGCTCCCATACAAACAAGAGATTTGGTGTAAATCATGTTTTTCTTACGCTGGAGTGGCCTGGTTTTGCCGTTATTGAACCAACACATAAGGAGTTCTATGTTAGTGTTCCTCAACATAATTTTTACTGATTTCACACAAAGCAGTGTGTGTGAAGGCCAGTGTTTCTCAAATCATGCTCCTCAGTCCACCTATACCAGGGTCACTTGTGAAGCCTGTTTAAAATGCATTGTGTCCTAAGCCAGACTCTCTGGAGGCAGGACCTAGGTGTCTTTAGTTTTATAAAGCCCCCTGGTGATTCTGAAACTTTAGGTGCCTCAGAATCACTGCTCTAGGTAGTTGGCTTGCAAGGTTCCTCTTAAGCCCGTATTTCCATTGTAGACCTGGTTTGACCCTTGGCAGGTTATTTGGGAGAGCAGAGCGGTCCCCAGAGTGGACCTTCACCCATTCACCCGAGTGTTCTGCTCTGTTAAGCACTGAGCTTTTGCTTCAGTAACTGTCCTGTTCCAGTACTTACTTGCCTTGCTGGGTACTGAACATCTCTGTAAGATGCCCCATGCTTTCCCTTTCCTCATCTCTGGCCTCATGGGGACTACCAGCTAAGTGGTCTGTGAGTCAAGGAAGGTAATTCAGGAAACATATATAGCTATTCAAACTTTATATGAAAGGAGAATGAACATGATAATTTTGTGTTTTAAACATATATCCAGACACCTGTGTGTGTGTGTGTGAATATGTTTGAAAACAAAAATTCATTTGTCTTTTGGAAATTGTGGATTTATGTAAAATTTTATATGTTTCTTCTCTTTGGCTTGGTGCAGACCCAGAGAATGTAGGGGTTGCCCACTTAAAGCCAAGCTATACTGCCCAGTCTGAGACTCTGAAAACCTGAGTCTCCCCAGTCAATGACTTTTACCTCTTCTCACCTCACCAAGGCCACAGATGCCTTTGGTTTTCGTTCGGGTTATTTTTAGAACTTACGTCATTAGGAAGTCGCCTGAAGGTCCTTTGCTTTCAGAGACTAACATCCTTGAATGTGAAGGGGCTAATCAGCCTGATTCAGAGGGAAGGAGAAGTCATATAGGACGTGCCTGGTACTGTTCTAGGCACTTCACATCCCGTCTCATTTTCTCCTCCTAGCAGCCATGACAGAGAAGTGGAGTCTGAGAGGTTAGATTTTGCCCAGGTCGCATAGCTTGTCAGAAATGGAACTAGGATTTGGAAATGAGATTTGAACCCATTTCTACCTGGCTCCAGTGCATAGGCTTTTCCTTATGTCAGGGAAGAGAGGGTGGCAAGAGTCCTTTATTTCCAGACTGCGTAGGGAGCCCCCAGGTAGAGTTACTTACTCAGTGTCTCAAAGCTAGTTAAAATATGCAGAGCTCCACGTCTCTTCTGATCCCTTTTCCTGCTTTTGTAGGCGTGTTTCTCTCTTAAAAAATATACGTATACGGTAAAACTCCCAGTGAGGAATATGGCAGAAATAGTTTTCAAAACAGTAGAGGTACCTCTCAAAGAAGAGAACTGTCGATAAACATACTGTATGCCAGCCTTTTTCACTGAAGGATGAGAGCAGAACTGGTCTCGAGGCCTGAGACACCCACCGGGATTTGCAGAGGTGGTAAGCAGCTCTGAGCAGAATCGGCCTCTTAAACCGACGAGCGTGTCGGGAGAGACGAGCGTGTCGGGAGAGACGAGCGTGTCGGGAGACCGCCGTGGCTGAGTGCCAGAGGCCTGGTTGCGGGGCACTCTTCTTCCTCTTTTGGCATTTTATTGTGGAAAGTTTCAAATACATAAAGAAGTTGAAAGGACAGTACGGTTAGCCCCCATGCACATGTTACCCAGCTCCAAGGGCTATCCACTCTCTGCCATTCCTGTTTCATCTATCTCTCACACATGCTCTTGTCCCCCTGGAGTTGTTAATTTCCAGGTACACCATCTCACAGGGTGTCCCTGAGAGAGACATCTGGTTGAGCCCTCTGGCCAAGGCTTACTGATCTTTAAAGTTCTATTTTAGAGCTGTCATTTATCAGGAGTCCTGGGTGGTACAAACAGTTAATGCACTCGGCTGCTAACAGAAAGGTTGGAAGTTCAAGTCCACCGACAGGCACCTTGGAAGGAAGGCCAGGTGATCTACTTCCCCAAAATCAGGCATTGAGAACCCTGTAGAGCACAGTTCTACTCTGACACACACGGGGTCGCCATAAGTCAGAATCGACTAGATGGCAACTGGTTATTCCTTATTAAATGCCTGATATGTAGTGAGTACTCTGCTAAATGTTTTATATTGAATGTTCGCTAGTAGCCCTGGGAGGTAGGTGTTGTTCTTTCCCATTTTGAAGAGGAAACTAAGGTTCCTGGCATTAAGTAAATTGACCTGCATTCAAGTAACTTGCCCAAGGGTGCAGTTAGCAAGTGACAGGGCCAGGACTCAGGCCCAGGCCATTCTGGGATCAAGCTCGTAAACCATCCTCTGTATACTGCTTCCTGTCCCGCTGCTTGTTCTAACCCCAGAAGAGTTCTCTTTTGTACTGTCCACCCCAGTCACATTTACTAAAGCGTAGGAGCCAGGGATTTCTTTTTGTTCATAATGCTGATAGCAGGATCGGCAGCATCCACATTTACCGCTGATATAGGAAGGACGATCAAAAAGGAAGGAGGGATGGGATTGATAGGAGGGAAGGGTGGGATAGATAGGAGGGAGGAGTGGGGTAGAGAGGAGGGAGGGGTGGGATAGAGGGGAGGGAGGGGTGGGATAGAGAGGAGGGAGGGGTGGGGTAGATAGGAGGGAGGGGTGGGATAGAGAGGAGGGAGGGGCGGGATTGATAGGAGGGGGAGGTGAGAGGTGATGAAGTGCTGTGGCACTAGGAGCCTCCCTCCTGAGTTCGCCCTGTCCCTGTGTTCTTTGTTGCCCTTAGAGTTTTTCATCTTCAGAGTTGCTGTTATTTGACCTAAACAGACATACCGAGGAGGGAAGGGAGAGCGGGGTGTGATTTCCCTGGGCCCGTGAGTCTCCTCGGACAGCTTTTGCTGGCAGAGCTGTGGTCTCAGGTGCCGTTCATGGACAGCAGAGCCTTGAGTTGCCAGTGTCCTTTTTGTTCCTGTGTCCCGTCCTCTCTTCTCTCTTGGGAAGACAGAAGGCAGCTTCCATGTATCCTAAACACCCTGCGCATCCAGTAGAAGTCAGCTGGGGGGCTGTGCCTTTGTCTTCTCTCCAGCACCCTGCCCGCATTCCCAGGGCGCCCTCTTCTTCCTGTATAGAGGCCCAAGGCTATTTGCTTGTTTCCCAGGCAATCCCTGAGAGGAAACCAGGTCAGAGTCCATGAATCTTAATTTTTCCCCCTTATTTTCCTTTTCCTATTTCTTCTATACTCTTCTGCACGTTCCTTCATTTACTCTCTCCTCTTTCAGTTCGAAAGAGTAACAGCCGTCCAGCCTTAACTGTGGAGGAGGGACAGATTGGAGCTAGATTCAGTGGTTGAGAGACATCTCTCCGTTAGTCTGGTAGCAGCATGCCTGTGAGGGCCATTTGTGTCCCTTGAGTTTGGTCCAGATGCTTCTTAAGGGACACATGCTGGGGCAGACCCAGGGGACACTGGGGCTGCTCTGAGGACTGGTTGGTGACGGTGAAAGGCACACTGGCCCGGAAATTAGATCTGGGTCCCCCTCCTGGTTGTGCCGCTTATTATTACCTGTAACCACAAGCAATTCTCGTAACTGCTCTGAGTTTCTGTAACAGGACTAGCTTTTAAGGTCTCTTTCAGTTTTAACGTTTTACGAATCTGAGGTTTGGGGAGCTCAATGTCACCGAGATCATTGTGACTGCTGACTGGAGGAGAGAAGGGGGGAAACAGCACCTCCCTCTCCACAATTATTAGGCTGGATTAGATCGCCGTCCCTTAGGTACAGTGAAAGTAGAGGGCCGGAAAGTGACATCCTGACTTTTCCTGTCTAGGCCTGGGAGGCTGGGTTACAGCGTCTCTCCTGGCTTCACGTGTGTATCTTTTTTTCAGGGGGTTGGAAGTAGGAAAGCAGAAGTTGGTAGTGGGATAAAGGATTGTCTGAGTCCTGTCCCAGCATAGGGTTGGGCGTGAGACCAGAAGCAAGGTTTCAGGTTGTTGGGTGAGAGGATTCTCGTTTTCTTTCTCTTGTAGCATCTCAGCAGCTTTTCACTGGGGTTTAGTTCCATATAACACTGTTTCCCCTTTGTTTTTGCCTAGTACCTGAACATGCTAAGGACTTGTGAGGGCTACAATGAAATCATCTTCCCCCACTGTGCCTGTGATTCCAGAAGGAAGGGGCACGTCATCACAGCCATCAGCATCACGCACTTTAAGCTGCACGCCTGCACTGAAGAAGGACAGCTGGAGGTGGGGGTTCAGCATGGGGCCGGGGGGCTGGGGAGCGGGCCCGGAGCACCGGGGGTGCTTAGGTACCTGCTCACTTGTGTGGTTTAGTCCCTCTGGAGGGAGATGAAATGAAAACCGTTCTGACTGGGGTAGACCAGTAGGCTCTGGAGCCACACCCATGCTCAGCTTCATCGGCTCCTCCCACTGACATTTATTCTTTGCCACAGTCATTTCCCTGAAACGATGCAGACGTCTTCTCCATTCGTTTCCTCCTGCCGCCTGGCCTAGAACCACCTTGCGTAAGCTCCCCAGCACTCCCACGCGCACTCTAGACCTGACACTCATGTTCTCGGTTGTTCAGAACCAGGTAATAGCATTTGAATGGGATGAGATGCAGCGATGGGATACAGATGAAGAAGGAATGGCCTTTTGTTTTGAGTACGCACGCGGAGAGAAGAAGCCCCGATGGGTTAAGATCTTCACACCCTACGTGAGTGGTAGATGGGAACGCATGCCTGCGGAATGAGGGTTGAGAGTTCTCCATAAGCCAGATACATACATGGAGAGAGAGAGGGGAGGGGGGTAGCCGTTGTCCTGAGATCTGAGCCTGTTTGAGTCTTAGAGCCCCAGGTTCATTTATCTTTCCCATAGGCCCAGCTAGTATTGGCAATTTCACATCCCCTTTGGCTCGCAGTTACCACTAGAAGGAGCCAGAGAATAGTAGATAAGCCGGGCCTTGCAGTGGTAGTCAGGCTTTTCTGTTGGCTGAGCGAGCTTGGCAGATGGGGTGACTGAGGGCAGGAGATCCTGGGCCTGGGCCTGTGGTGCCTGGCCCTGCGGTGCCTGGCCTTGAGAAGTCAGTGAGTGCTGCTACTTCTTTTTCAGTTCAATTACATGCATGAATGCTTTGAGAGGGTGTTCTGCGAGCTCAAGTGGAGAAAAGAGGTAATTCTAAACGGTTCTTGCACTGACGTTTTTATCGTTTTTTGTTGTTGTTTGTTTAAAGTTTATAGGCCTGCGGCAAAATACCTGAGACCCTCACCTCCATTTCTGCCTGTCTAGGAGTATTAGTTAGGGACTGGTTACCCCATGTGACCCGGGACATTCTTCAGAGAGATTGGTCTCCGGCTGGTGACCACTGTATATCAAAAAGTCCTGCTTCTTCCCTTGTCTAGAGGGTGGGCATTGGCTGTAGGCGATCCCGTCTGTCCTGGCATCATGGATCCTCCTCTGCCTGTCTTTTTTTTTTTTTTTTTAATCAAATCACCCTCCAGAAGGGCAGCGTCCTGGTCCAGAGGGCAGCTGTCCTCAGGTTTAGCCGTTCTGACTGGAGCAAGTCATGACAGAAGCTTCTAGGTTCATCAAGAGTGTATATGTGCAGAAAACCCCAAAGCATCCACAGGAAAACTACTGCAACCAACAGAAGATTTCAGCAAAGTATCAGGATACAAGATAAACATACAAAAATCAGTTGGATTCCTCTATACCAACAAAGAGAACTTTGAAGAGGAAATCACCAAATCAGTACCATTTACAGTAGCCCCCAAGAAGATAAAATACTTTGGGATAAATCTAACCAGAGACGTAAAAGACCTATACAATGAAAACTACAAGACACTACTGCAAGAAACCAAAAGAGACCTGCATAAATGGAAAACCATACCTTGCTCACGGATAGGAAGACTCAACATTGTGAAAATGTCAATTCTACCCAAAGCGATCTACAGATAGAATGCAGTCCCGATCCAAACTCTAATAGCACTTTTTAATGAGATGGAGAAACAAATCACCAACTTCATATGGAAACGGAAGAGGCCCTGGATAAGTGAAGCATTACTCAAGAAGAAGAACAAAGTGGGAGGCCTCACACTGTCTGATTTTAGAACCTATTATACCACCACGGTATTTCAAAACAGCCTGGTACTAGTACAATAACAGACACACAGACCAGTAGAACAGAATTGAGAATCTGGACATAAATTCATCCACCTATGAGCAGCTGATATTTGACAAAGGCCCAAAGTCCGTTAATTGGGGAAAAGACAGTCTCCTTAACAAATGGTGCTGGCATAACTGGATATCCGTCTACAAAAAACTGAAACAAGACCCATACCTCACAGCGTGCACAAAAGCTAACTGAAAATGGATCAGAGACCTAAATATAAAATTGAAAACGATAAAGACCGTGGAAGAAAAAGTAGGGACAACGCTAGGAGCCCTAATACATGGCATGAACAGAATACAAACCATAAGTAACAATGCACAAACACCCACAAGGGAAACTAGGTAACCGGGAGCTCCTAAAAATCAAACATTTATGCTCATCCAAAGACTTCACCAAAAGAGTCAAAAGACAACCTACAGACTAGGAAAAGACTTTCGGCTATGACAAATCCAATCAGCATCTCATCTCTAAAATCTACAAGATACCGCAAAACCTCAACAACAAAAAGACAAATAACCCAATTAAAAAATGGGCAAAGGACATGAACAGACACTTTACCAAAGAAGACATTCAGGCAGCTAACAGACAGATGAAGAAATGCTCACAATCATTAGCCATTAGAGAAATGCGAATCAAAAGTACAATGAGATACCATCTTACCTCAGCAAGGCTAGCATTAATCCAAAAAACGCAAAATAATAAATGTTGGAGAGGCTGTGGAGAGACTGGAACACTTAAACACTGTTGGTGGGAATGTAAAATGGTACAACCACTTTGGAAATCTATTTGGCGCTTCCTTAAAAAGCTAGAAATAGAAGTATCGTACCATCCAGCAGTTTTGTTCCTTGGAATATATTCTAGATAAATAAGAGCCGTCACACCAATAGATATATGCACAGCCATGTTCATTGCAGCACTGTTCACAATAGCAAAAAGATGGAAACAACTTAGGTGCCTATCAGTGGACGAATGGATAAACAAATTACGATATATTCACACAATGGAATACTGCGGAACGATAAAGAACAACGATGAATCCATGAAACAATATGGAGGAATCTGGAAGGCATTATGCTGAGTGAATTTAGTCAGTCACAAAAGGAGAAGTATAAGACCACTATTATAAGAACTCAAGAAAAGGTTTAAACACAAAAGAAAACACTCTTTGATGTTTACGAGGGTGGGGAGGGAGGGAGAGGGTTATTCACTAACTAGATAGTAGACAAGAATTATCTCAGGTGAAGGGAAGGACAGTACACACTACAGGGGAAGTGAGCACAACTGGACTAAACCAAAGCTAAGACGTTTCCTGAATACAACCAAATACTTCGAGGGACAGAGTAGCAGGGCGGGTGTCTGGGAACCATGCTTTCAGGGGACATCCAGGTCAACTGGCATAACAAGTTTATTAAGAAAATGTTCTGCATCCTACTATGTTGAGTGGTGTCTGGGGTCTTAAAAGCTAGCAAGTGGCCATCTAAGATGCATCAGTTGATCCCAACCCACCTGGAGTAAAGGAGAATGAAGAACACCAAAGTCACAAGGAAAGTATTAGCCCAAGAGATAGAATGGACCACATAAACCAAGAGACTTCATCAGCCTGAGACCAGAAGAACTAGATGGTGCCCAGCTCACCAATAACTGCCCTGATAGGGAACACAACAGAGAGTCCCTGATGACACAGGAGAAAAGTGGGGTGCAGAACTCAAATTCTAGTAAAAAGACCAGACTTAATGGTCTGACTGAGACTAGAGGAACCCCAGAAGGCATGGCCCCCAGACTGTCAACCCAGAACTAAAACCATTCCCGAGGCCAACTCTTCAGACAAAGATTAGACTGGTCTGTGGGACATAAAATGATACTCGTGAAGAGTGTGCTTCTAAGCTCAAG